TGCTCTGCCGGGTGCACAAGAAGCTGGGAGGGGGCACAGCCGGAGGGGTGCTGACCCAGACTGGCCAAAGGGCTATTACATACCATATGACGTCATGCTCAGTATATAAGCTGGGGGAAGAAGAAGGAAGGGGGGGACATTGGGTATGATAGCGTTTGTCTTCCCAAGTAACCCTTACGCGTGATGGAGCCCTGCTTTCCTGGGGATGGCTGAACACCTGCCTGCCGATGGGAAGCAGTGAATGAATTCCTTGTTTTGCTTTGTTTGCATGCACGGTTTTTGCTTTGCCTATTTAACTGTTCTAATTTATTTTACTTCAACTATTAAACTGTTCTTATCTCAAGCCACGAGTTTTCTCCCTTTTACCCTTCTGATTCTGTCCCCCATCCCACTGGTGGGGAGTGAGCGAGCGGCTGCGTGGTGCTTAGTTGCTGGCTCAGGTTAAACCACGACAAAGGGTTTACAGCTCAGCACTGTGAAATAAAGGGCCATTTCTTGAAATACTTAGCAGCCGTGTAGTAGTTTGAATTTAGAGAAACACGATTAGGCTTTGGCTAGCTTTCTTCAAAGAGCCTGCAGGGATGAAAATCTCCCTACATGGCCTCCTTCACAGATGAACAGTCTGCTATTCACTTTCCACAAGAAATATGCACGTGCAATACGTAAACCAGATTTTTGCATGTTCTACAAGAAATTAATGTATATATGTCCAATAGTATTTTACAGACTGCTCCATGTTAACCTCTCTCTTTAAAGCCATTTATGTAATATCACAACAGCTTTGCAACAGACACTAATCACTTCTTTCCAGCAGAGAAGCAGATGTTACATTCATTAACTTGCGTAATTACCTTGTCGCATGATTTTGTCCCTTTGGTCCAAAAGACGGTATCTTTCTTCAGATGTCTCGGCTACTAATCCTACCAGACTACCAAGAGATGACAATGAAGCTCCCAAGGCCTCTGAGCTCTGCCCTTCAGAACTAGAATCAAACAGATCTGTTTCAAACTGCAGTGCCTTTCGGAGACCAGGCTTCTTGGCCGGAGAACTAAAAAGAGAACATTTTTTTTTTATCATCAATAATACACTAATGCATGCCCCAGCCTTAATCAGTTCACTGTTCTTTAGGATGTTGACATCTCTGTTTAGAAGAATATTTTGTTCACAAGGCAATGTATCAAATAAACAAAGTATGTATCAACATACCAAGGTTGTTATGAGCTAACACTAGCACTGGGAGTTAATCTGGTTAAATCCTCAGCACTGCCTTGACAACACTGCCAAGCATTCTGGATCATGGTGAAAGCCTCAACCTTTGTACAACAGAAATGGTGTTACTGAGTCTTGGAGCAGACAGAACCAGGTGGGTGTTGCAGCATTTTTGCATCACTACGGCACAGCAGTTTGCATTTTAAGCCAGCAACTAGCCTGCTGTTTGGTGTGAAAAAACGAATGCTTTCTATAGCAACAGAGATTATTAAAAGATTTTACAGGGCTCAGATACAAACACACTTTTTAAATCAAGGAACAATCATTCCTCTACAACATATTACTAATTTTATAATTATATGACTACACATACCAAATGACTTTTGTCAAACTAGACACACCATTAAGGTACCACAGAAAGATGACAACCTTGCCACTTCAGCAACTGCCATGAAACAGGAGGATTCCTGTACAAAGACGATTCACTTGAAGTGAGACAAGACGATGATCCAAACTCACCAGCTACTCTGAAAAGGGGATTCTCATTCCACAGAACTGTAATTGCCTACAAATGAAACTACTCACTTTAGAAGCTCATTTAATCATGACCACAGAACAATGTCATTACTGCTTGGTCCTAGTTTGGCTCTGCACTGTTTCATTCACATTCAATTCCCTTATGCCTCACTATTGCAGGTGTTGTTATTCATGTTGTTATGAACAAAATATTCAAAAGAAATATGCAGACCGAAGCGAAAAATCTTAATAAGCAGTCAGAAGTATCTTTCTGACAGTGTGAGAACTGTGAGCTTGTAATTCAGACAAACCAGAAGAGATGAGGGAAGCACGCTCCCCGATAAGAACATGACTGTTTGGCACACACTGATCATTTTTCCCCATGCACCCTGTTTCCTGCCAGATGGAGTCCCAGAGGAGCAGACGTACCTTTTACCAGGCATGACGCTGCTGGCAGAGGATCTTATTAAAGGTTTTCGAAGAGGAGAATGCTGATAGCTTTGCTCTTCACTGCTTTGCCTTCCTTCATCTTCACCTGCTTTCTTCTCCTTGGATGAAAATTCTCTTTTTGCTGGACCTGAAGGGACATAGAAACATGAAGCCAGGTACTTGCCAAATAGTTTAAACAACAATTCCTTTTTTCCTCATGGGGGTGGTGGCGAGCAGCTTGTTTAGAAAAAAATACTATTAGAAAATAAAACTAAGAGTCACAGTTTTGTACATGTATGCAAAACTTCAAGGACAACTTGCACTAGAAGCTGTATGGAGTAAGCCTACCAATTGCTAGTCAGCTTCACTGTTCTATAAAGAACAAGTATTTTTCAATAAAATATCACTTAGCAATAACTATAATTGGTCAGCAGATTGTCAGTAAATGAACTCTTATCATCACCCAAATTTAACTTCTCTCAGGTCTGGGATATAATCCACAGTCATAACTCTCTACAGGATATGAAATCCATTTCACCTATGTAAACCACAATTCCCTTTGCTCCTG